AGCGTGGCACTTGTTCCTAGTAGCTTCTTGTTACTACTAGTAAGGCATCTGTTACTACTAGCGTGGCACTTGTTTCTACTAGCTTCTTTGTTACTACTAGTAAGGCACCTGTTACTAAGGCGAATACACCCATTGCCAACACTTGGTCCTTGACCATGGGCACCGAATCCTCGGGAGCGATGGAGGGTTTTCCTGCTGGATGCCTCAGCCTGGAACCTGCGCGGCTGGGTTGCGGCTGCGCTCGTTTTAGGGGTTTCTCTAAGGAAGCAACTTGATTTTGTTATTATTATTACTTTTTTTTGCGCACCTCTTGAACTTTGCCATGATTCGATTCATCATCGACTTTTGATGACAATCGCATCTCATTGGCTGAGGTCTGGACATTTCCCGGCACTCGCATTGAACCCGCCCCAACCCCAGTTTACCTTCTGAACATGCTGGCTCCTGGCAAACACTGCATGGTGGAGCCCACTTACAAGCACATTGGCATGATGTAATGGTAACTTTTTGAGCTCATTGACCTGATTCTATTTGATGCGCTATGTTGTGTATTGAGGTGCTGCTGGCTTGGACCAACAAGTCCAATCCAGTGTCCATGCCTGTGGCCATCTTCTTTGAGACAACCAACTGGCTCTTCTATTTTGAGCCACCCATGACGCCGCTCAGCAAGCTGGCGCCCATCCTTCGGATTGTGATGCCTGCACAGTGCGCCAAGAGTGATGCGCATCTCCGCATCTCACAGCATCGGCAAAACACATGGTCTTGATATGGATCTCACAGAATTGATTGAAGATCTGGCGGTGTTCAGGTATGAGTTTCTGATTGAAGCCACAGATCAAGATATGCAAGGTGAGCGCTGTGCACACCTCAGAGAAAGGGACCTGTCGTTTGCTTTATTGTACAAAATATTGTACAATTAATCATGTCGTGCCAGTCGCATTCTAAAGGATCGTAACGTTGCGTCGCACCTGTTTTTTTGTTCTCTCAATTTGGGAAGCTCGGGGATTCCAAAAACAATCCGGAACAAGCGACTCGACAGCAGTGTGTATTGGAGCATCCTTTTTTGGAGCATCCGAAGAGCCATTCCTGCAAGGCTACATGAGTATGCAACAAGAAGGCAGTTGCCGGCTTTGCCTGGCGCTCAAGTTGCTGGCTTGTTCCTTACTCTTGAGGAACAGATCGATTGAACATCAGGGGACAGTTTTGTAGATTCTCAATTCTCAAGCTGTGTTTACCAAATGATTAATGCTCAGGCTTCTTCAAGGAAGCTCCCTCGGGCGGAAGCTACTCGAGCTTCGTAGCTACTTACCTCAGCTACTACTCAAGCCTATTGGCAGCCTACCCCTCCCCCGGGAAAGAAACTTTTCCAACTGTGTTGAAGATTACTCCAGTGAGGGTTCTGTGCTTTTGTGCTTGCGTCTGTTCTTCAACCAACCTTCGAGCGGGTTTCAAGGCATGCCTAAGCTAGGGGATCCAGACTGCCCATACCCCTCTCGCGAGATGCAAGCATGTCTCGTTTGGAGTACCTGGGGGCTCAGATTGCGAGGTGGCGTTCCATTCCAGCCGTCAGAAGCATGGTGCGTGCGCGAGCTTTGGTAGTGACAGGGCGTTGCCGTTTGGAGGTTTAGGGTTGTAAGCCTTGAACGGTGAGAGCTCATTGGGCATTTGTAAGGAACATCTCGGTCACATGCTTTTCAGACTCAGCAGGTCTTCGATTTGTTTGCTGAGGAATGGAACCGGAAGAATGCTGCAGAGATCCACTTCCATTCGTCCAAGATCCTTGAACCACAGTTTCAGCACCTCCGGCAAGTTTGGCAAAGAAACTAGCAGTAGTCCAAACAGAACTTAGACTGTGTTGCAGCACAAGCACATGCGGTTGCAGTTTGCAACAGATCCCGAGTCAGCTGTTGCTCCATATTCAGCTCAGCCAAGCGGCATCGAAAGTCGCACTGACCAATGTAGTCTATCTCTCAGCATGCACCGGAAAAAATACACATTGAATTACAAGGGTGAGTCATTACACAGTGTGTTGCAGTTCTCTATGCAGTTGTGTTGCAGCATGGCCTCTCTGCAGTGGTGTTCAGTCAGGTACAGTGTTTGGGTGGTGGTCACAAACCCACACTCGCCTGATGCGATCGATGGGCCGTCGTAGCCTGAGACAAACAAAGGGGCCGTCGGATCCTTCCCCAATGCCGCGCACCCTTTTGGAGGTTCATTCGCTGGTCAGGATGGTATGAGCCTGGTGAATGGATCGTTTTAAGGCTTGTCTTGCTGAATCATGCTACTGACAATCAGCACATGTTGAAGCACAGTCGTGGTTGATAGAAGCACATGCTGTATTTTCCCTTACAATGAAGCAGGTCTTCACGAAGCACGTCTTTTGTGGAACGTGTTGTTTTTCTCGAAACAAGGAAAAGCACTTGGCTGATGGAGACCTTCTTCGGCGAGCCAGTGCCTCCGGCCATGGCGCCCTACGGCTATTGGCTGGATTATGTGGTGGCACCAGGCCCTGTGTTTTTACAGAAAGAGCAGTAGACGAGGATGTTGTCGATTGGTTTTGGTAGGCTCATCATTCTTGGTGGACTGTGTGTGTTAAGCGAACATCGTCATTTGCAAATCGCAAAGACTGAGATGTGGCAGCACTTGCAACCCTCAAACAAGAGTAGATAGACACATGATACATGTGATTGGGTTGCTGACATTGCGGAAGATCCGCGGTCTGGTACTTACTCGGACAGGTACCAAGATTGTTGGGCACTCCTTCGTCGATATTTTTTTCTGCATTTGTCAAGTGGATAGCCAGTTGGAGTCACTGTCACTAGTAGTCACTAGCTACCTAGACAACAGTGCAAATTGAGGTGCCAAGTGAAAGAGAACGTTGTGGTGACTCATGTCGGATGTCACCAGGCTATCGTGTGTCCGGGCTTGCTGAGCTTACTGTAGAAACGCCAGAGGTGTCTCGGCCAGAAATTGAAGAAGCACTCTGGGCTTGGAAGAAGAACATGATGTTTTTTTCCTTCAGACCTTTTGCTTGTCATCCATTGCCATAGTGCGCACTTGTACTTCCCAGGGTTGATGCAACCTGTTTTGGAGTATCAACCTAAGAGTACAGTTCACTTTGGGAGCAGGCTTCGTCACTTCAAGCCAAGACTGACATGGTTCGTGGTTACCAGGACGATTTACAAGTCCGAATCCATGACTCCAATAATTGGTCCAAAGCATTACACTAACGTAGGATTAACGGAAAGTGGGCAAGAAGCTACTAGTAGCAAGGCACCTTACTAGCAGCAACAAGAAGCTACTAGTAGCTCCTGGCATTACTACTAGTAACAAGAAGCTAGTGGAACGTGGTGTTGACTGGCTTCGCCGCTTCGCTTCACAGGCGCGTGATGGAGGAAGCTTTGTCGACTGGGTCACCTTCACGGTGTCTGGCTCTGAGCGAGAACATCCATCCTGCAAGTATCTGACCCATTCATGGGTGTGGATGCTTTCAGAATACCCAACCACAATGTGTGCTTTGCCATACTTGCTGACAGCAAACACCTGGCCAGCCTGAACTCAGATCATTTCCTGATCTACTCCTACCAGGGGCCATACTGCCACTTTTGTTCTAAGTCTTGCTTTTGACAATTATACTCAAGGTGCAAATGTGCACATGCGCATACACAGAATCTTCAGAGTCACACTTCTTGCTTTTGCCAAGATGTTCAAAATGTGCAACACAGCAGACCATTTGTTTGAATCAGACAAAATGTAGTGGTAGACCAATTTCTTCCCATTTTCAACTTAGAATGTTAAAACAACACTGGAGAACTGCTGAGTTTTTTGTGCTAAAAGATGCTAAACGTATTGATGGTTCTTGGAACCACGCCAGGATGTGATCGAGATCAGAGCACCACCAGGATATGAGATGTCATATTTGCAGCCAGGCTTTGAGCTCGAAACTCAGATATTGATTTTCACAGAAAATGCATTTGTGGACATCTTAATGTGAAATCTGTCCGCTATACAGAGAACCTTGGGTCAGACTGGAACCGAGGTTGGTGATTCTATGCTACGGTTTCCGCTGGATCCCCACCATTTGGCCAGATCCGTTGCCTCCGGATGCTCTGGCCTGAGAGGGGCGAATCCTTTTTGCAACATGGTTCCACAAATGAGATGGGGACTTTTTTGTTCGCCTTCTGCAATTTTTGTTGCACAAAAAGAGGCCGTGTTGATGAACGACTATATACTATTATGGCTTTCAAGATCCATCACAAGAGGGTCATAGTGCACCATGATCTTTAGATGCAAGGTGACACTTGTGATAACGTGAGTGTTATTTGCCGGCTCGAAGATAATCATTAATTCAGTTGAAGAGGATCTAGTGGGCATGGAATTCAATTTGATATGACATGATTGTTGCTTGCGGTGCGAACGGTCGAGATGATCGATGAACATCAGTTACTTGTAATGTTGCAGGTTCGCTTACACCATGGTGCGCACTATCGCCGGTGCCGGCATAATTGATAGTCCCTGCTCCACCCCACAAGACCGAACAGCTGTACGAAGAGAATAAACATACACCGAAAGATTTGATCCCCCCAAGTCGGAAAGACTGGCACGATCACGCACCAATCAAGAAGGTGATTTGTTGAACAGAATAGGATTGAGCCAGAACAAAGGCACTCTATTGCTTGCACCTGTTTCATACCCGCTGGCCAGTATACAATGTGCAAGTTTAGGCATGTTGCATGTTTGCTCCTGTACGGGTAAAAGTACATCAATAGACTGAAACGGCAATCAATCTACCACAAAAAAAGAACCAACCTTTGACCTATTGACGAAGATAGGCTGGTGGAAGAAGCTGCGCCAAGGCAATCCACCAAAGATTGACCAATGGAAAGGTTCTGCTTTCTGGAACACTTGATGAAATCTTTTTGGGGAAACATGTCCTGCATCATCAACGAAACAATGCCATTGGCTCCAATATCCATCAACGAAACGAACGGTTCTATTGAGTCTCGGAGATGCCACAGAACACTTGGCGTGCTTTGCGTTCTTTTGAGGTGGATCCAGAGACAATCCCCACGCACCTGCTGCCTATCCGGCCGCCTGAACGTCCACCAATTCCGGAGGACCCCACAGCTGGAAACGATCAAGACAGACATTGCCCGCAAAGAGAACACGGAAGAAACTGCAAGCATGTGGCACATGTATCCTTTTTTTCTCTGTCTAAAAGGGTCTTGTGTGCATGCCAGCTTGTGGATACATGCAAAGAAGCTGAACAAAAGAGGTATGTAAGAAAGTGATCATTTTCTCAAGAAAATAGCAAACACACCACATACATACTGTATATATATATAAATAAACCATATAATATGGTCAAGCTGGCTTGGCCATAGCTATGTCAACTTTTGCAGCTTCCAGGGTGTCCCGACTTGGGCGAGTGGCAATTCCGTGCCTTGGCGTGAGAGTGATCGACTTGAGAAGGACTGGGAGAACTTTCAATTTGCACACATGAGCTTGTGTACACTAGGGACAAAAGCTGATTATTATTCTCTGTCCTTGTGGCCAGCCCCATGCTAGGAGGCCTTTGTCTAGTGTTTATACTCACACACTTGGTTTGGTTCAAGCCAATTGACTTGAGAGTAGTTTTGTCCAGCGCCGAACATCTCGTTGTGTTTGCAGCCATGTCCGATGCACTGACGACTGCGGGCATCGCCATGTTCGACGACGTTCTTATGGCCAAGAAGTTGCCGAGTGCTGTGCTGCAACGATTCAGCGAGTGCCTCATCAGTGGAGAACCAACACCAGAAGAAGACCAGAAAGTGATTGCTGACACCATTTTTGAGTGGGCACGTGGGTTGGGTGCCATTGACTTTGCCCATTGGTTCTTTCCTCTCCGCGGTGGCGGTGGTGCAGTGGGTGGCATGTTGGGTGCCTTCAAGAAGGACACCTTGATTGATTTGGAGTTTGGATCCAAGTTTGTCACCAAGCCCATGAAGGCTTGCTTGCCTCATGAGCGCCTTTTCCAGGGTGAAACCGATGGTTCTTCCTTCCCCAACGGTGGGCTGCGTGTGACGCACTCGGCCGCAGCATTCACCACCTGGGATAGAGCATCTCCACCCTTTGTGACGGACAAGTGCCTCTACATCCCATGTGCCTTCATCACACACTTTGGCAAGTGCATTGATGAGAAGACACCCTTGTTGCGCTCCATGGATGCAGTCACTTTGAGTGGTTTGAGGTTGCTGAAGGCCATTGGCATTGGTACGGATGCCAAGGCCATGTGCAGCTACCTCGGCTGGGAGCAGGAATTCTTTGTGATCCCGGCCGATCTCTACAAAGCCCACCCTGACCTGGTGAATTGCGGCCGAACCCTCTTCGGAAAGTTGCCTACCCGGCATCAGCAGGGAGACCTCAACTATTTTCAACCAATCCCAGGAAAGGTTCAAGAGTTGTTGGACATTGCTCAAGCTGAGATGCTCAAGGTGGGCTGCCCCATGGCTGTGAAGCACAACGAAGTAGCCCCAGGGCAGCACGAGATGTCCCCGGTCTTCCGCACGGCCAACGTCTCCTGCGACAGCAATGTGCTCTTCATGGAGGTCATGAACCGTGAGGCGCAAAAGCTTGGGCTTCAGGTCCTTTTCCATGAGAAGCCCTTTGCAGGCATCAACGGCAGTGGAAAACATGCCAATTGGTCCGTGGGCACTGACACTGGTCTCAACTTCTTCTACCCCGGCAAGAATGAGGCTGGGGCCAAGCTCTATGTCACAGGCATTGCCTGTTTGGCTTTCGGTCTTGCGCAGTACAACGAGATGGTCCGATGCACTGTGGCCTCCGCTGGGAATGACCACCGCCTGGGAGCACAGGAGGCACCACCCGCGATCATCTCGCTGTATCCTGGCCAGGGCTTCGAGCAGTTTATGGAGACCTGGTTTTGCTGATTGGGTGATTTTCTACTTTTGTTGTGAGTGAATCCCCATTTGGGGAGTATGGTATTTGTTGTCGGTTCCTTCACCAAATCCAAGGAGAGCATCATCTCCGGTGGCGATTTGCTTGGCTACAAGGCTGTCGAACCATGGGCGCTTGATTCTGTGTGTTTTTCCGTGGGCCCCGGTCAAAAACAGCTGTTTCATCTTCGATTGAAGGTGGGCCCCCAAAGGGATCTGAACGGGCACAGTGCCGTGGCAGCTTCACTAGGAAGAAATAGATGGTTCGTGCAAGGGTCAAACGTGGCCATGAAGGACTCTAAAGCTGTAAAGGTGAGCTGCAGTCGGGTTTTCCAGGTGTATGATTTCTTGTGGGCAGTGACAGTGAGGGGGAGCATCCAGAAGCCATGCCCGTGAAGAAGATGTGTCACCATGTATCAAGACATATTTTAAATTACACAATACATATAACATATACAGTGTATATATATATATATATAATGTTATATTATATATACTATATACTATACATACATACGGATAACAGATAGTGGCTCCTTGAGGTTCACAACACAGGTTCCTCCTTTGTTTGTCCTTTCACTCAGAAGTAGCTCGACACTGATAACATAGCTTATATAGCCCCCAGCACGTTGTGTTCTGCTCTTTCAGGCGGAGAAGAAGAAGCAGTCCACCGGCTGCAGTGCTGCCATGCACATCGAGGCCAACGTAGAGGACCGGAACCGCACAGCGCCCTTTCCCTTCTGTGGGAATCGCTTCGAGTTCCGCGCAGTCGGCTCTTCCCAGAACTGCTGCTTTCCTGTGATGGCTTCTTGGATTTCTTGGATCAAACATTCTGATGTTTTCTAGAAACAATAAGCTACTAGGAACAAGTGCATCGCTTCTAGTAACAAGTGCCTTACTAGTAGTAACAAGAAGCTATTAGAAACAAGAATTATATAGAGTCCCTGAGATCGGTTTGTCCCAAGTCTTTGGTGAGCCGAGGTTTGCAATGCCATCATGTCTGCAGGAATGGCACACTTGGCTGGCTTGATTGAAGGTGGTATGAGCCATCGTGATGCTGTGGCGCAGGTGGGATGTGCCAACTCATGGGGTTACACTCATCCTTTCGTGGGACGGAGTTGATGGGAGATGGGGTCCAGCTAAGTTGGTCTATATCATATAACTGTTTAACCCAGCTGGTTTTGTTTCAATATGTTGTCTCAGCACAACTCCAGAGGTCTTCAAGGAGAACAAGCACGTGATCTTCACAGGGAATGGCTACTCCGCAGAGTGGCCAGTTGAGGCCAGCAAGCGTGGCCTGCCAAACCTCAACACCACGCCCAAGGCCATTGCCACTTGGAACTCTGAGAAGAACAAGAAGTTGTTGGAGTCCCTGAAGATCTACACCGCGGAGGAGACCGAGGCGCGCCAGGAGGTGATGTATGAGAACTACATCTCCAGCATGAGCTGCGAGGTGGAGACCATGGTCCAGATGACTGAGACTGGCATTCTGCCAGCCTGCGCGAAGGATTTGGAGAAATACAAGGGCTTTGAGAAGCTGGCGGGGAACAGGAAGGCGGTCTACGAGGGTATTGTTGAGCAGCTTGAGAAGTTGAAAGCCTCTTTTGCCAAGAAACCACACACCTCCCTGCCAGATGAGGCCACTTATCTCTGTGACACAGTGAAGCCACAAATGGTCGCGCTGCGAAGTGCTGTGGACAAGGCTGAGAGCCTTCTTGAGAGCGGCTTGTACCCATACCCTACCTATGAGGCCATGATCTACTCTCATCATTTCTGAGAAGAGGGTCTGCAACGGGCTCTGAGCCTCCGATTGCGAAGTCTGTTGTGAGGACTCTAACCATGGAAGATGAACACCTTCCTGGTGCCATTGCACCCAGTGGCTGCTAAGAAACTGCAGCAGTGCAGTCAGTGGAGCTGGCATCCTGCTGTAGTTCAGCCCTTATCCTCGTTTTCGAACACTTGAAGCAACACTCGCATTCCAAAAGTGACCGAGCACCTTTTGTTAGTGATACCGAGAGAAGTTCGACAAACAAGAGAACAAACCAAAAATCTTGGCCCACCGAGTTGAACATCAGGTGCTTGAGATTCAGCCAACCGAGCTCTCAGATGACTTGCAATGGGCTGCAGATGGCGCCTGGGTCATGAGGCCTTTTTCTGCACGGGACACTGCTGGGCTCTGCTTATGGTCGAGCAAACCAAGAGCTTAATGACCAAGGTTTTTGTGCAACGTTTTGTGCATGTGTCCAACAACTACCTTTCAAGATGCAGCTCTAGCTCTGAAACTAGCCTTTGGCCATGTCTGGAGAGTGGGTTTCGTAATTTGGAGCTACACACTCTAGGAACAAGCTTAGGATTACTGTAAGCTATTTGACCACAGTTCATCAACAGCAGAACTTTCTCAGAATAGCGGAAGGCACTTTATCTCATAGTTTGAAACGAGCCACGCATCACTGGTGGAGGATGCCGATTAACTTCACTGCTGCCATCCTGAACGACTATGCGACCTTTCTTGTGCTTATTGAGGGCAATGACAGCAACTACAGTAATCTGCTTGAAACCCAGAACTCCTGCAGACGAAAGCCGTGTAGAGCTTCCTTTTCTGAAACAGGCAGAGAAATCAGTTGAACTGCAGTACCCAAATTAGCGAATCACAGGACACCTTTGAAGTCAACTAACCAACCGCTTTCGCTCGGGAATTGTAGGCTGGAGGCTGCATGAGCGACCGAGTTCCAGTACCTAAAGGCCTCTCGAATGGGCCACCTTCAAGGTCAGCCAGTGACTACAAAACACCCAATGCGTCAAGCTCTCAAAGTGACTGGAGACATGTGTTGATCTTCACAGTGTGCGATGAATCATTTGCACTGCCGTCTGGTTGTTGGCATGACGACCTCTTTTAAATCCTTCCTCACAAAGAGGCATTTGTTTATAGATGGCTTCTATCATACTCTTGTATTCTGAAGGTTCTGAGAGTGAGAGTGCAGAGCGCAGCTGGCTTGCTTTATTTTTGCTACACACCGTATTGGGGTTAGTCGGGGTTAGGCCCCATCGAATGCAAGTGACGCCAGCAATAGATCGTACTTGTAGGTGGTTGCAACATGTTGCAAGTGTACTTTTGTTGTGTTGCCCAGGATCGAGTTGATGCAGAGGATCGGGCTGCTACTTGGCTGAGAAGAAGCCCCAGGTTCGTCTTGGGGCCTGCTGCAGGTTTCCAAAGCCTACCAGTTTGTTGAAAGATGCAGTCCCACTCCACGAATCCTGTAGAACAGGCAGATTTCGGATGTATCATCCGATCCACAGTCCCAGTATCCACTTCTTTCTGGGGTGAAGTGGCATTGGCACTGGTCCCGCACCAAGGCCAGATTGGGCGGTACCAGCAGCAGCACGATCACAGTTGGATACCATGGGAAATGAGACGGTGAATGCCCGTGGCCCCAGTCGACCTGCAGTCAATCGCCTTCAGATCGCCAAGTGATGGAATGCAATGGCAGACGCAGAAGGCACTGGATCTAAGGTATCCTGCACTCCAATCAGAGGAAAGTGAAGTCCCCCACAAGGGTCTGACTTGCCATCTTTTCAGGCGGCCATGCACAAACTCAGGCAGTGTTTGGATGCCCGAAGTAAACACGTCAGGCCTCAAAGTCACAAAGGTGCGAGTAGGCTAAATAACTAGTAGTAACAGGTGCATCGCTAGTAGTAACAGGTGCCTTACTAGTAGTAACAAGAAGCTATTAGAAACAATAAGAGACTTCCTCACAAAACCCATCGCACTGGGGCTCAGACCGACACACCTCGATCACCCTAAGGTTATGAAACCTAACACACACACACAGAAGAGGTTCGAGATCAACAATTCAAAACACAAAAATACAAAGAAATAAAACAAACACAAAACACAAACCTAGACTCAGCCCAAAACCAGAACTCAAAACCAAACACAAAAACACAGTCAGCTGGAGACTCAAGTAGCAGAAGGTTGAACAGAGGAAAAAAGCAACAACCGGACTCGAAGTGCGTGACCCATGACGCGAAGTGGCCCTGATTTCATTTGCACAGATGCACTCTCCAAAAGGAATCGGCAACAAAGGCAAAGCATAGAAACCATGACCAATGGGCCTCCAGTGGCCTTTGGCTTGAAAAAGAAACGCTTGCATGCTGTCATGCCGCATGCTGCTGCTACTTTTCAGTTTCAGTTGCCTGCAATTTCCAGCCCAGACTAAACAATTTATTCACACTGTTGTTTTTTTACTTGAGTCCTTACTTGAGTCCTTGCTTGATTTTTTCCTTCCATACTGTTTCTCTTGCTTGAGTCCTGTCTTTTTTTCATGTCCTGAGTAGACCTGTTCTCCTGAGTGTGGATTTGTTTTTCCTTCTTTTTAAAAAATGTATTTTCTTTCTCAATTTTTTGAAAAGGATTTTGGCTCTGTGTGTTGAGTTCAACTTCATAACGACCCTAAGGCCTCCACGGAGTATTTGGTTCTTCGAAGCCATTGCCTTGACCGCTTCGCACAAGACGCAGGTGGGCCTGAGACGTGCTGGGCACGGAAAGCCACAAAGTCATGGCATTGGCATGTTCATTTGCTTTAAAGAGTCCACGAGATGAGTTGGAGTCACCCAAGGGATGGGAACATGCCAAGATTTTTGATGCCAATTCTGGCACACTGCAAGGCCAATGCAGGCATTGTGTTCCCCACTGGAACTGGAACAAAAGACTGGACCCCCCCTTTCGCCGGAAGAAACAATAAATCCTACATACATCATTGACCTATTGAAGCATACTGGAATCGGAACTGGAACTGGAACATGAACTGGAAGCCCTCCCCCCCGGAAAAAATAGAACAGTATTACCAGGGATTTCTATTTGAACCATGGCATTGGAACCAGGACCCCCCACCTCCAACCACCCAGCTACTTGGAACTGAACTGGAACTGTTCCAACCACCCGGGGCATACTCTGGCTGCAGTGAAGGTGGAAACTTCTTGAACGATGACTTCAACTGGTCGAAGGCGGCTTGTGGCATCGGTTTCAGTCGTTGCTCTTGCCGAACCTTCCTTCAGTTGGGGGAAGAGCTACAAGTTGTTGAATGTAGCGAAGTTATCATTAAGCGCTTGCAGCAACTTGTGCTTGGAAGAGGAGTCTGCGCTGAGTCGATTTTGACAGAGTCTAAGCAGACATCCACTTGTAACGCCACGCTCTTAAGCCTGCAAGACCAAGACACCAAACTTGGACGCCAGGTGCCTGCCAATGCAGAGTTCCAGGTGTTCTACGATGTGCATTCCTGGATCTTCCACAATGGAAGCTATGCGAACGGTAGAGACAGAGTCTTCATGAGTCTCTTCCGGATTTCTGTATATATATATAATCATGTTAACATGCGAACAAACATGAACATCTGACGGATGGTGACATCCGTACTTGCAGTTGGAGACGAACACTGTCCGTGCCCCTTTGAATCTATCTTGTAAGACTGAGTACACCCAAGCGGCCTCCTCTCAGCAGGTCACAGCGAAAGGCATGATGGTGGGGGGATACACTGTGGGCCCCCCCGAGCACCAGGAAATCGATCAATCAACGTGCTGACCAACCACTTTGATTTGGGCTTCACTGATGTAGTCTACGGCATGATCTATTTTGGGCCATTGGAAACAGGATAGGACTGCTCAAAAAAGACATCAAGAGAAGGATACCTTCATTGATCACAGTGAGCGCATTCTTTTAACTCATTGAGACATCACCATAAGAACGAACAAGGTCATGTAAACATAACATATGATTTACACATAAGATACTCAAGTCCTCTAAACGAGTTCCACCGCTCAGCTGCTGGGGCAGCTCACTTCCAACACTGGGTGGCCTGCCGAGGAACGGTGGTGTCACCTGCTGATAGCTTCAATCTCAGCAGTTACATGCAGAGCCTCAATATGACCTACAATGCGACTGGAGCAGCAGATGGGGGAATCGGGAGGATGCAAGGATCTGAAGGTTTGGGAACACACAGGTGATTCTTCAATGTGGAGGGCTCAGGTCAGTGAGTATCCACAGAAAGTCCTCTAAGGCTCAGTCTCCCTAAATCGGCTCTGCAGATACTTTGGGAAGATCTTCTTCACTTCACACCACAGGGAGCAAGTCACAACCAGGTCAAGATCTCCATGCAAAGCTCTGGGTCAACTGTACCTATATAATTCAACCGGCGGTCAAGGCAAGCAACGTGACCAACCTCACTGGATTGGTCACAGTGGCGCGGAACCCCAAAACTCGGAAAATTGACAGGATGTTCCGACTAGTAGCTTCTTGTTGCTACTGTTTTGAAGCAGCTCACCTAGTAGCTTCTTGTTCCTAGTAGCTTCTTGTTACTAGGATGTTGCGACAGAATCTTGTTTTCATACAACTTTATGTTTTCACACCAAGGGCATTGAGCAGGTTCTGCGTACTGCCCCAAGGATGAGGTTCACCTCTGCTTCCGCGCGCTATTCCAAGCTTCCCGCTCGGAGATCGATGGCCCAGCAGCCGGGGCACTCAGAGAAGAGAGCGACAAGCCCAAAGCGTCAGGCTGTTGCGGCTTTCCGACTGTCAGAACATGTCCACATGCTCCACTGGTCCCTCAATTCTTTTAAAAGATCTGACTATGCACAGTGTTTGTCTTGTTTGCCAAGGCAGAAGCCTTCTGCTTGCAAAACTGCAGCAACACCAACCTCACCATCTCACAGACGTTTGGAAAGCCCAGAAGAACAAGCAGCAGCAAGCAGATACTGGTATATGAAGCACTCTGAAGCCAAAAGATGATTGGGACAGAGCCGGATTGCTGCAATCTCTGCGATAGTCGCAGTTGCCGCATAGCCCATATATATATACATATATTCATATATTATAACAAGGACACTTGCTTTGCTAGCACATGGTGATTGAGCCAACAAGGTCTGTTGCAATATGGATGTCCTTGTCCCTGCGACTGGTTTGTTATAGAAGCTGTTTCCAGACCGTCCGGCCATTTGCTTTTGTTCTGAAGAATACTCCTACTTTGCGTCACTTGGCTGTGGTGTTGCAGGCTAACGGTCAAAGTAGTTGGAGCCTTCGTGGCACTTTCCGGCTCAAGTGGGGCCCACAAGACTTGGCTTGCCTAAGTGTCTTGTGCTAACCTCTTTTGACCTGACAGAATCAATGCCCCTGCCCCTACATATACAATGAGTTGTGCAGTACAATGGCCACTTGGAGCATCATAGCCAACCTTACGGGAATGGGAGGATAGCAAGGCACCTGAAGTCCCTCGCAACGTAGTTCAATTTTGCTTTGGAGGTCCAGCCATGTGGATCCCTTGTTCGAAGCCAGATCCTCCTCCAATGGAGGACTCAGGATCACTGGAGTTTCCCATGTACTCGTTGAAGGCAGAGACATTTTTGGGTTTAAGGATTGTTCTGAAACATGAAGATGCCCATGCGGCTGGCTACCTGGTTGAGTTCTTCAAGGATCAAGGCTCCGCAATCTTCATCTCACACCAATGGCTGAGCAGGTCCCATCCAGATCCCCAGGGAACACAGCTGCAGGACATGCAGAATTCTTTGAGGAATATCTTGAACGATGCTGGCCATATGCAGATTTCACCTCATCCGGCAACACAAATGTATTTTTGCTCGCAACCGACGAATTATGCTTCTAGGTTTCGTGGCAAGACATTGCTGATTTGGTATGACTACTTGTGCATACCCCAGGAGAATCATCAGCAACGCTGTCAGGCGATTCGCAGCATCCCCGCCTATGTAGCACGCTGTGATTTTTTTGTTGCATTGTGCCCTCCTTGCCAACATTTGGAAACGCAGGAGGCTTTGAATCAATATACTTGGGGTGCCCGCGGTTGATGCCGGGCGGAACGGATGGCTCGAGAGCTTTCAAGTGAGGACGGGTTGATCATATGTGTTGAGGGTGGGCGACATCAAGCATTTCTTACTGATCTCAAGGCTACGCAATCCCCTGGAGCCGGGCACTTCACAGTCGCGGAAGATCGTGACCACATTGCCGTCATCATGAAACACATGTTTCGTGACAAGCTGACACACTACCTCAGGCACGGAGATTTGCATGAATTTCGCTGGTACTTGAACCAGCAGGCGGTCTGCTTGAGGGGCCTCGGCACAGATCTCATCAACGACATCGGGGTTAACATTGAAAGCATGGAAGCAAGAACTCCTTTGGCCAAGTTCATGAAGAGGAATTGCTTCAAGAAGGTCTCGGAGCGTGATGCAATGGGTTGGACTCCAATATGCTATGCAGCGGTGAATGGTGACGTGTCAGTGATTTCTGCTCTGTTAGCTGAAGGAGCTTCTGCCAATGACCGAGTCACAAGGCGGGATGTGAAGCATCAGGTCTACAAGGATTGTCCTGTGTTGTCCTTGGCTGCATGGTTCTCCCATCATGATGCTTTGGAGCTTTTGTTGTTTGCGAGGGCAAATGTGAATAGTAGCGATGAGATGAGCTTCCCTCCTATACACTATGCGACAGGTGCTGATGATGTCAAGTCCGTGAGGATTCTCCTCAACGCACATGCTGATCCTTGGGCAGAAGGCTTCCTAAACATCGATATGTTAAAAACTGCCGCCGCACTGGGATCAGTGCAAGTTTTGCAAGAGTTGCTGCGCATGGCCGCGCCAGAGCGCCTGCAGCAGAGCTTGAGACACAGTTTGCACTGGGCAACGTATTTGGGAGGATTTGCCAAGAATTTGGAGCTGCTACTCCAGGCGCGTGCAGATGTGAACGACCGTTGTGAGACACAAACCCGTCAGTTTCCACTCTGGGTGATGATGAAGTACTGGGCTTTGCAACACCGGATCCGCCAATCGAGACTCACTCTATTGGCTTACCATCACCAGGGCGCGACACCCCTCATGTTCAGCCTCATCAACTGTCAATTTGAGGCGACCCAGGTCCTTCTGACAGCTCGGGCAGACATCAACCTCAGGAACTCCAGAGGAGTGACCGCTGCGGATTTAGCTCGAGAAGTTTCAGCCCCTCAAACTCTGATGGGCTCATTGGGCTAAAAGTGCCCAGAACCTACTGTCCACGGATCGAAAAGCGAGCTGTTGACTGGTCAAATTGCGATGTGGACTCTACTCATTCACAAGAAAAGAGATTGATCCCTTTTGTGAGGGATTGTATCCTCCAATGCCTCTTCACACCTTTAGCCGGGCCCTCAGTCCAATTTCAGATCAACGTGACACGGAGATTACTGTAAATAGTTGACGGGCTGGCGCTTTCTGCACGAATAGCAGTCTTTGATCGTCTTTCAAATGGGTTGCTTTTTGATGTTTTTCTGAAAACCCAACCTTTTCGTTGTGAAGGAGATACATTCTGAATCTAGGAAGCTTCACATTGCAGGATTCTCTTTATATATATATATATATCTTTATACAGATCTCCTCTTTCAGGCTCGAAACCAGACGCGGTGTGATGCCATTCCAGCCGTGGCCCAAATAGAGATGAAGTGAGAGGAATGGGTGAGCCTAGAATAGATTATATAACCCTGTTGGAGCTGAATCCAACATCAACTATGAGAAGAATCGAATAGTCCTTTGTAAATACACAGCCCAAAGGCATACTTTGACTCTTGCGGACTATCCGACTATCAGTCAGTGTCCCCACTTTACACTTGAGACCACATCATAGATGGCAACATTCGAAGGCTTTGTTGTCACGTTGCAAATTCAGCCCGCTCTTTTGCCATATAGGAGTTGCTTTGTCGCAGCATCTTCGACCATTGTCACCTTCCTCGACACCCACCAGCTTCTCTGTAGACCTACCACTTCTTGTGCAGCTGATGCATCATTGCAATCGCATGGAGCAACGAGCTTTATCACCCCTGCCCACCTCACGCCATTTTAGCCTCACAGGACAACAAGGACGAAAAATTGACGAAACAATGAATCCAAAACCAGGCACTGCGAAAGCCCCGCCACCTCATTTGCCATTCAGGGACTATACATACATGTGTTCCTTGCGCAAAAAATCGGACATTTGGTGTGTGCATTGTGTGCTGAGAGCTCTACCTCCACCGGCTGCCTTCTGATTTGATTCTGGCTGCAAGAGGGTCTGCATCAGGTTGCGATTGGTCCAAGAAACCATTCTCACAAGCGATACCTTTACAGAATCTATTGCAACAGTTGCCACTCAAAGACATCTCTACCAGCTATGATGAAGACTATCCAATCAAAGTTTTGAACCCGAGGTCGGCGGCTTGCCGGACGGTGCGGAGAGTTGGAACCTGAGCGGGAGAACGCTTCCGGTTCTTTGAGACTTGTCGCGTTCGACCCAGGTGGTAAGCTACAACTGATACCCAACGAACAACGCGAATCCCCACCTTTTGTGAGAGCCAACAGCTAGAAAGAACAAGAAACATGCTCCCGTACCGGTACCTCCAGATGTGGCGCAGCAAATGCTGGCGCCGCCAGCTTGTGCAGCAGATGCCGGGTGCCCAGTGGAAAATTGAAAAGACACCATGAAGGAGTGGTCGCAGGACATGTTGCCTTTCATGTCTCTGACCTACTGAATCTAAATGGAATTGGCCACAACGAACTAGACGTGTGTGCTGCGGGGACGTGCCTTGAGGTAGCGACGTATCTTGACCTCATGGCTCAAGGCTGATGTTTGCCTGTTGGACTTGTGCATTTTGGTGGATTTGCAAGTACCAATGCCTATGCAATGTGATCTGGCAGTCTACCTGCAAGCAGTCTGTAACTTTTTCATTTGCAGGAGATGGCTGCCCAAATTCTAGAGTCAGAGAGTCCCTTCAGAGTACTGTCTTCCTAGAATCCAAGCTATCTCTTTTGATGGTGTTTCTGTTGATGGATCACATGATGACCCTGGACTCTGGACGAAGGCCTCATTCAAGTCCCGGCCTTGGGCTATTGACTGTGGCACCATAGACAAACGTGGATGCACAAACCAACGGTTTGGGCATTCTGGTTCACTGGTGATCGAGGCCACACAGCCACATCGTCCAAGGGGCATGCCAACACCCATTTTGAAAGAAGCTAGTTACAGCTAGTTCGAGTTTAATCTTGAAAACAAAACCTAGGTAGGTAGATTGATACGATATGATTGAACCCCGCACTCCAACAGCGAACATCCAACCCTCCTCGCTGGGCTGCTTCACCTTGATCCATCCTGACCGTCACCGAGACTGCAGAGACCAACGCTTCGAACCGCAGCAACTCGACCAACAGCAGTGGAGGCCACATACATGGCGTGGTGATCGCCAATGGACACGGACAGCACTGGAATGAGTGGTTTGGGAGGATTTTTAGTGACTTTTCGGGGTATACTAAATTTCCGGGTTTAGTTGGTTTCCCATTCAAGTTGTCTTCACAAGAAACCCTCATTGTCGCCTGCAGGGGGCCCAAAATGCCCTATGGCCTGCGACTCAATTGGTCAGTGGTACAGTACAACCACTCGGGTTTACGTAAAGGTTGAATGCTCAACTTAGATCCTTCGGTGAAGCACACCAAAAGCATAATGAGTATACAGTATACAGTATACCCAAGAGGCGTATCCCAGCCTGAACATGTCAAAGGCCTTCTGCCTCGCTTCCTGTTCCTTCCTTGTCGCCTCTTCCTTCCTTCTTTTTCCTTCCATCTAAACCCAGCCAAGCTCGCAAAGCATCAGGTCAGATCTGCGATCAAATCCGCCGACCCCACACCGTGGGGTCAGGGCGTGACTGTTGATGTTAGCCCTAAGCCTTAGCCTTAGCCTTAGGCCCTAGTCCTTAGCCTTAGACCTAGTCCTTAGCCTTAGACCTAGACCTTAGACCTTACCTCCCCTACCCCTCCGGACCCTTGTTACAGTGACGAAATCCGGTCGAATTTCTCCAGGAAAGCGACCTGGATTGTCCAAGAATCTGCCATCCCCAATTGATTTACATCTTGGGGCACCCTCTCGACCCGCGCGGGAAAATAAGCACGGTCCAAAATGGTCCTGGGTTCGAATCCCGGGCTGGTCGCGGCATGGTCCCGGCCAATGCCCTTGCTTTTTCGTAGATTTTGTCACGTTTTCTGTTGGCTTATGAGATTTTCAAAGGCTTTTCTGGCATTTTCCTAGGAATGCTCTAGGCTTTGTCTTTTTGGGTACCTGCTTTGGTGGTGCTGGGTTGGGTCTAAATTGGTAAACCTGGGAGGTACCCAAAAAGTCGACTTTTTGGGTACCTGCTTTGTTGGTGCAGGGTTGGGTCTAAATTCTTGGGCAATGATCGGGGTTCATGCAAGAGCTGACGTCCGATGGTAAATCTGGGAGGTACCCAAAAAGTCGACTTTTTGGGTACCTGCTTTGGTGGTGCTGGGTTGGGTCTGCACTCTTAAGGCTAAGGCTAAGGCTTAAGGCTAAGGCTAACATAGAGCAAGGCTAGCGCTAAGGTTCTATCCCTTGGGGGTCGGCGGCTGCAGGCGGTAGCCTGGTAAATATGTCAAATATGTGAAAGGAGCATGCTGCCCCACACAAGCACCAAGCTGATTCTGTGCGGAAAAGGAGACGGCCTTTTCGGGCGTTGCCTTTTCTGTGGCATACATCTCTTTGCCTATCATAGGTTCTGCTTACTGGAGGGTTACGTTTTCACGATGGACATGGTAGGACTGTTCTGCTTGCTGCAGGGTGCTGTCTTTGCCATAATACAACTCCTGGTGCTAAGTACTTTTTGCTTGCAGTATGCAGATATTTTCCTGCATGCTGCCTTGGTTAGACAAATTCTTTTGACGTCTGAACTTCCCATGGCAGGTCTCAACATGACCATGCCGGATTGCAAGTGTGGCCTGCCATTCTGGCTGAGTTTTGCTTTGCTTGATTTTCCCTGGTTCTTTGATAGGAAGCATCCCCGGCCAGGCCTACCGACACTCTCGTTGCGGTGGCCTGGAGGTCAAAGGTGAATCTCACCAAGGAGGCTCTTGCAATCGAACAAGGGAGGAGAGAGCACGCGTTCTGAAAGTGAAGGACCATGAAAGAAAGATGACGTTAGGAGGAGTTGATGTCGAGTGATGCGCCAATCGCTGCCACCTTTGTTTGCAGAGTTCGACCTGTTCACTGGGCTGGCACAGGTCGAAGACTACCGGTTGGAGTATGAGGCATGAGGGTCTTATTCGAAGCACGGCATACAATTCGTAGAGGAGAGACGGTTTTGCTACCCGCTTTTGCAACTTGTTGTCAGTCTGTTGTTGACAACAGTGGCAAATCAGACAGGACCACAAGTCCTGTTGCAGAGAACAGTTTTTCGATTCTTTTGGTAGCGCTCTTTGCCGGTTGGCCGAACAAACTCCACTTGGCTTGAAACTGTTTGTTGACTTGCAATTGAGCAGAGTCTATTCTGACAGATGTGGGTTTGGAATTACGGGGTGATTGGGGTTGGGTAAATTACGGGGGTTGGCACTGGGAGGTTTGCTTTAGTATAAATTATAAGAGTTCCAACATGTTCCAGCTCATCCTGGAGAGGGATACGTTGAAACCAATAAACACATGGGTGCTCGCTTATATATATATATAGTTTCCTACTGCTGAATGTCTGAAAGACATTGTGGGTTGCATTAGCTTAAGATCTGGTTGTGACATGTCAATCTCTGGCCTCTACTCAGTTGGAACCGCCAAGTGCAGGATGCTGTCAGCAAACAGAGCTTTTCTCGCTCGTTTCGTCGTTTCCCGCTTCGACGTTACGAAGCGGTGCAGGCAGCGGTTCGACTCCGAAGCTTGGACCAATCGCCGCTGCAAACCCCCGCCGTGTGCGAGGGCAACAAGGTGGGATGTTGCCGTCCATTCGCCGATCGGAAGATCAAAGGGGATAAAGCTGCGAGTCTCAGATGCTGAGGTTTTCCAGGCAAATGGCATGGTACCACTTAAAATGGCAATGTGTCATTCTCGAAGAAGCGCCCAGATGAACCGTCTGGAGTTTTAAGGGACACGTTGCGATTCAATACGTCTTGAAAGGCTCGTCCACGGCAGGTCATCCTTAACATCAAAGAAGAGCACATGCATCCCGATCCTCAGACCTTTGGCAGCAAGTATGAGTTTTGATAGTACTGGCATGTACTGGCCATGATTGAGGCTTTGCGTGGAAACTTCGGTGTGTTGAACAACTTCAGCAGCAAATACCAAGACTTGCCAGCTAGCCGGCAGAAAACGACAGCAAATTCAGAGCACTCATATCATCTTCCTCGCCAATTTGGCCTGTGTCTATGTGCTTTAGGTTCGTGAACTCCTCCGTGACCTTCCGCTTCCAGATGCGTTTTACCAACCCTCGTCGGCCACCACTGGACTATGAGAACAACTGGATCATGTTGCATAGTCCCAGGCTCAGGGCATTTTGCATTGGGAAGTGGAAGAAGGAAGCACCACATCAACAAGTTGCCATTCACGCCTTGGAGATCCTTGGAGCATGCCCTAGAACAGATTCTATTGGAGGGCTACTCGGCAAAGTCCATTGAATCTTGCAAAAGGTTTTGTCAGCAGTTGCAGAATCCCTAGTCCTATCCTTTGCCCTTAGAACGATTACTTGGATGCATGACGTGGAAGAAAGCACTCCACCTTTGGAAGAAGTGTGCCTCCTCACAACTGCTCGAAGCTCTTTTTGTGTACTCGTCCGAGATGCACGTGTTCTTGTTTGAACTGCCAACTCCTCCGAGCATGCTATTTAAATGGCATGTTTAACTTCTCCACAGAACTCATAGCGATAGTCTCCAACCTAGAAGCGATGGCCTCCAACCTACTAGCAATCTATATACAAAGCATTTTTTCAAGCATTTGCTTACGTACCCCACTTGTTGGGAGACCCGGATTTGAGGTCGAACCGTCAGCATGGACTCCGATTCAGATGCGATCCTTTCCTCTGATGCCGTGCAGAGTTGGAATGTCACGGCCTCGGAAAGCGAAAGGTTAGGCCGCAGTTGTCTCAACCAGATAGCGAGCAGTTAAATGATGACCATAGACTGCTATTGCTTGAATCAGTGTATCATGCATTATGTGATGCATTCTGCATTCTTCTATATTCTTCTCCACTGGCCTTTCCACCGTGTCTCCTCCTCCTGTCTTGAAGCCAGGTGCGAAGCAAGCTGCGATACATCACCATCAATCGGCTCACCGAGGCAGCCCAAAGGGAGCCACATTGACATATTGATGAGAGAGGAGAAAAGAATAGAAAAGACACACTCTAAGGTTGAAACATTTAACACCAGATAGAAAGGGCCATGCAAGTGGTAGAAAAAGAACCTGTGAGTGATGCTCTGTATAGTGGATGGAGGAGAGAGAGATGCTCGACCACATGTGACTGGCAGGTGCTACGGCCAGAAGATGAGGCTATCATCCACTTCGAGTTTGTGACGGCCGGGCGGCAGGGGTTCGTGTCGGAGTCTACAAGGATCCTTATATCATTCCTTTTTCTCTTGTTCTTTCTTTCTTTAGATCGTTCTTCCTTTCTTTTCTTTCAGAATTATTGTCTTGCAAACTGGACTTGACGTAGAATGACATTCGCTCAGATGCTACTGTAGGCTTTGTATTGGTTGGACCAATCTTTTGTCATCCTAAGCAGTCTGGCAGCCAGACCGCAGAGGACTTCAGGATCCTCAACACATTGTCAAATAATAAGCCGTCAAACAGAATCAAAAAGTATGTGCTAGTCACACGGATTTAGAAGGATTGATCCATCGAAAGGTTTGAGCGCACCGAAGAAAGGCGACACAGCACAGAGAGTGCATCAGGTGGCAAGATTGGTGTTGAAAACATCAGCTTTGTTCCAACATACATGGGACATGGCTTGCCTTCGAGGAATCAACGCTCAATATATTTCTTGAGACTTCAACGAGAAGGTGATTCTATCGAGGTAGCAATCCTCACCCTTCCGCGATCGAAGTCGGTCGGGTCAATCTCAAACAAGTGGAAAGCGCGAAGCGCACGAAGGTTTTCAACCGCAAGGTCGAAAGGTCGTAACCTACCGTGTCTCAAGGGCCCTGCATTGAGCCAGGACGACAAATGTGCAAGAAATGTTATGGCCTTTCATGACTTAACATTGGTGCATCAACACGGGAGAAGAGGTCTTTGGTTTTCAACCTCTTGGAGAAAATTCAAAAAGGACTTCGGACATTTTGGACGTCCGGCTCAAGGGCTTTCCAGGGAAGTCATTTAATCCCTGTGTGGATAGAACTCATCACTGTGCAGCCAGGCTCCATGCTGACTCCATGGAAGCTGCACATACCGAGCTGGCACACGATCTCGGTCGTAGTGAGTCGGAGTTTGGCATTGACGATCTTTCAGCTCACCAGCCAAGTAACGCTGAGCATGCGTCTTCTCGACTCGATTGGTTTCATTGGCCAGCTTCAGCTTCTTGACCTCATAGTTCAGCTCGCTTGACATGACCATGTAGTCGTTCATGAAGCGGATCCATTGTTGGATTTGGTGGTCGCTGAAGTCACTCTTTCGTTTTTTGGAATGTACAAGTTCGTGTACCAGGTCTTTGTGTTTGTGAGGAGTCAGTTCACTGTGGAAGCTGGAGAGGAAGAGCATTCCTCAACCCAAGGTCCGGTCGTAACCTTAGGTTCGAGCCATGGCGTGGTTGGCGCTGAGCAGAACTTCGAGGACAACACGGAGGTCGCGAATGATGAGTATCAGAGCTCAGAAAGTTCCACTGAATCATGTGTGGGGCGAAGTGAATGGGAACGATGGCAAAAGCTCAAAGAAGAAGTCGAAGGTGAAGAAAAGCAGAGAAAACGGCGAAACAAAGCATCACAGTGTAGACAAAAGTCCAGTCGAGCCCATCACCACCTGAGATTTCTGCAGCTTCAGCACCTGGCGTAGAAGTAAGTGCCAACGTGGTCATGGCGACCTTGGCTGCTTTCTGCCGCACTTCTTCTCGTGGTTCTGAGTGATGAAGGTGCTTGTAGTAGTGGCGCCGACTGCAGTACTTCGTCTTCTTTCCATTGAGGATCGCCGCATCTTTCTCACATCCGGGCAGGACTTCTTGTTCTCTTCATCTTCAAACAGGATCTCCTGTCCAAAGAGCTTCCTTAGCCTCTTCATGCTCTGCCAATTCTTTCTCCTTGTCATCCTTGGTCACCTTCTTGGCCGCGGTGTACGATGGATCGTACTTGAGCTGGTGAACTCCTCTCTTCAGCTGCAGCACGAAATTGTCTCGAGCTGATGGTTTGGTCAGCCCATCGGCCAACTGCTGGGCTGAGTTCACCCACCGCCAATAGCCAGCCATCGCCTCCAGTCGCTCTCTCACAATGGCCACTTCTATGGCCGTCCTCTTCTCGGCGAGACGAAGTCCTGAGGAGACGGATTTCGCTGAGTCGAACAGGCTCCAGGCGTCAGTGATCAAAGGCGTCTCACCAAACAAGCGACCTTCACCCACTCTGTCTCATCCACTGCACCTGCTGCAGACTGGGCTTCAGCACTGAGAGACGAGCGACACATTCGAGGGAGTTTCCTCGATTGCCAGTCGATGGTGGTCAACGGAAAGGGGCGTTCACTGTCCAGTTCCGAGGCCGTGGCAATGAAGATCAAATAACCACCTTGTGAAGATCCGTCCGGCCTTACGCTCCAGGATGCGTCACAGTAGACACCGAACCTCAGCTGTTCAAAGCTTTCTCCATGCTTTCGAAGAGTGAGCACGTACTCCTTCACCATCTCTTTTGCGAACCTGAGGGTCTTCTTGGTGTTCAGACAATCCTGGATTGTTGGTGCACTCGAGCTAGCCGGGTGAATGCTCACAGAAGCGGCCAGCGGCGGTAGACATTGTCCTGAAAGCCAGGCTAACGCTCCGATCAGGGCTCGGAGGTGCTTGTGCTCTGAGCCTCCCAAGGGTGCATCTGGAGTGCCCTTGCGAACCTTCTCGACTGGGATCGGCTTCAGCTTCGTGATGTACTCCTGAAGTGACAACGTGATGGAGTCATAGTTCAGGCTCTGCTGGATTGCAGTCCCACAGAACATCAACTTCTCATGTTCACCAAAGTCCCAGGTTTCAAACCGAAACCTCTGCGCGAGCAAGCGCACTCGACTTGCGAAGTTGATCTGCTCTTCATATTCAGCCTTCTTGGAACTGCTCACATCGCTCACCCAATGCCTTCTCCAGCCCCCAAGTGGTCATCAACGTGCAATCCTAGAATGCCGTCAACCAGGAAAACTTCTCCATCCTTGTGGATCTGCTGGAACTCGGGGTCGTGCTCTGTGGCCTTTCGCAGGGACAAGTACAAGCAGCGGTCGAGTGGGTGATGCGCAAAGAGGTATTCATTCACCATGAAGCTGTCTGCAGTGCTGTGCCATTGTCTTGGTGCCCTGCATGACGTCACCGAAGGCCGGATTCATCATCTTTTCAAGTCTTCTTCGCAGGTCACTTGATGGCTTGATGTAGATGCGAGTGGTCTCATCGATCGAGTCGGCCTGCATGAATGCACTCTTCACATCGGCTGAGAGGACTTTCCACTGACTCTGACATGCCCACTGGAGGGTCAACATCTTGCCGACTCTGGAGAGCGTAGGAGGAGTCTCGAGGTCATTCTCCAGCACATCCTTGTGGCGGAATCCCTGTATCACGACCCGTACATTTGCCACAGGTCCTTCCTTGGTCGGCTTCCACCTCTTGAGCGTTCTTGCTGGAATCAGCTCCCTCTCATCTCTCATCTGAGGACTCCTTCTTTGGCTCTGCAGCTGCGTGTTCTGTGCTGCATGTGGTTCTGCGGCTGTCGCGTTCTGAGCTGCATCTGGTTCTGCGGCTGCCGTGCTTTCTGCTGTTGCTTGTTGGGCTGAAGCTTGTGGTTCATCCATAGGCTCATCGTCAGGAGGATCCGGACTATCCGGCTTGGCCATATCGACATCAGGCACGGCCGGAAATTCCTGGTGTGCCGGGGACTCTAAAGGTTGTGCAGCTGGTGTTGGTGATGCGTGAGAAGAACCGGGTGCCCCAAGATTAAGAAATCGAACGGGACCACGCACCGGATGCAAAGCCTTCTGAAGTTGTTGTGTCAAAGGACCAGCAGCTACAGAGTCGGGCATGAGCTCCAAACGATGGGCTTTCTCGCGAGGATTCTCGGGACGGACATGCTCAGCTGCAGCTCGTACCAAAGAACTGCCGTGGGCCAGCCAAACACAGGATGTCGTGTTTGTGTTGGGCTGTGGCTCGAGCATGCGCGCAATGGCTGGGCCGCGCCAGCGTTGAATCTGGAGTTTCTCATCGCCTGAGCGCCAGTAGTAGGCCCAATCTCCCGCGGTGACCTCGGGAGGTGCAGCTCTTGGTCGTGCAAGAAGGGCTCGACGCAAAGTAGCATCATGATTGGCTGCATAGAATGCTTTGGCGGCTGCATGCCTCAGTGAGTGGTCTTCCTGAATGGCATTCTCATAGTCTGGTCTTGGATCATGCGGTTCGCCCATGAGGCCAGCTGGATGATTCGGTGTACTGCCAAAGACAATCTGGCTGGGTGATGATCCATGGATCGAGCGAAGCCGATTCCGTTGTTGACAAGACATGGGGATAGCCAGCTTCGTCACGTAGCAACTTGAGCAATTGAAGGCGTCGTACAGCAACGATGCCCATTTTGTGGTGAGCCTCCTTTGGCACCAAAAGCATTTTGACACCATAGTCATTGAGGCGTTGCTGAAATCTCTGAGACATGTGGGCACCTGAGCTATCAGTACGAAGCTTGGCTGGTGCGCCAAAGATGCAAAACCATTGGTTTTCCAGAGCTGCAAGTTCTTTTTCTTCAGTCTGTAGCAAACAGTTGATCTCATAGCGGGAGAAGACATCAATGGCTGCCAAGATGCGAATCCGCTTGTCCTGCCACTTGACATGAAAAGTATCCACCTCCATCAACTCATTGAAGTGGCTAGCCTGTGGTAGGGATCCAGGCTTGGCAAGCTTTCGCTGAACATCAGAGCTGCAGTTGCCACACTCATAGGTCTTAGCGACCTGCGTGACCTCATCAGGGAACTTGGCATCTTTGAGAGCCTTGCAAAGTTTCTCATTGCTTGGGTGTCCCAGCTGCCGATGCAATTTGCTGACGACTTGGGCTGCTTTTCTTCCATGCGTCTTCATGAGTGCCTTCTCTTCTTCAGTGACTTGATTCGTTTTCGTCTCCTTTTCCATTTGTTCCACATCCATTTCTTCAAGCTCTTCTGAAACGAAGATGCGCACTTAATTCTCTTCCATGTCCATCATGATGGCGTCAGCTGCTCGCCGGGTGAATCCAGGTTCGTAGTTTTGCATGGATTTTAAGGCTTTGGACTTGCCATCCATTTGAACATGATCACCTCGACGTTGACATGGTAGGTCAAGAGCTCGAAATAGGTGGTGACTTCCAGTTCGAACTCTGGTTGTCTTCTTCACCGATCACCTTACCTTTAGGATTCTTGTACACCAGACCGGCGCGGCAGCGATCGCAAATCGCATCGACCAAATTTTCGTTCATCCTGTTTAAGGCCTTTGTGCTCCACGATGCGGCCCAGTGTGGTTGTTCCAGGCCAAATCCAATGTCCCCATCATCACATACATCGGACACATCAGCACTGAACTCCAAGTGATTGTCCTCCTCCCGTTGTCGACCAGCTTCCAATTTCTTCTTGGCCTCTGGGGAACGAGCAGCCAAGTTCTGCATAGTACTCCATTTTGTGCATGGAGGTGCCAACCAAACGAAGTGAGGTCGTTCAGATCGAAGAAGTGCCAAGAAGGTTCTCCTCGCCTCTTTCTTTCCAAAGTCCCACTCAGGCAGTGAGGAAGTTGCAACCGTCACGTTTGGCCGGTTGGCCAATTCCATGGCCAGATTTCCACCATCCACATAGAGCTCGAAGTACAGAAGTTCTTTGTCCATCATGGCCTTCTCGACAATGTGGGAGACATAGATCTCTTGGTCCTTCAGTTCCAGTACTGCTTCATCATAGGTGTCCGTCACCTTCTCTTCCAAGGGGATCTCGACGTTCCACAACTCTCCAAAGATCTCCTCAACCACGTGGACCTCAGCATATTGCCCAAGAAGATTGAGAACATAGTGTCCTTGATGTCCACGCTCTGGGGTGAACCATTCACCATCCATCACTTGCATACGACCTGAGGCGAAATCACGCTTGACTTCCAGGCCTCCAGGGTTGGTCGTGACAGCAAGAAGGGCGTCCGCCCCGGGACCTCTGCCTTTCCATGAGCTTCTTCCTCCTCCATTGTCGTCCGGCGGGATGGCCACCACGGGATAGAATCCTCTTGACAGTGCCAGTTCTCGCATTCTTCGCCTGCTCTCCAAGTAGCTGATGTAGGCCTCATCGCATTGATCATAGGCTTCATCCAACTCTTCTGGCCATTCTTCATCTTCTTCAGCCTCGTAGGCACCGTCATCTCATAGGCCTCCTCGTCATCGTAGACCTCCCATTCTTCCTCGTAGAAGGTTTCTTCCTTGCCAGAAGTGCGAAGATCTTTCGTGTTCGGCTTGTGGTCTCCGCCGAACATCTTCATCAAGGCCTTTTGGACTTTCTCATACTCAAGCTCGCCTTGACAGAGGGCCTTTATCTGGACATGAGTCCCCTTTGGAACACCTGCACGGGTCATGAGATGCCAGCCAGCGAGGAGATTTGGTAATTGCACCTTCACTTCATTCATCTTGGTCATCATGGTGCGATGCCTCACTAGATATGCTTGCATCTCCTCATTCTTCAGGCGGCTGAACTCCGTGAAGAATTCATCACACCGTGCTGGAAGTTCCACTTCATGCTGGTACTGGTAGATGCTGTCCAGAATCGCATAGATGGGCTTGAATGGAGTTGAGCTGCTCTCCAAAGCTGAGTAGTCCATTGCCTCCGTGGCCTCCCAGGCCAGGTCATTCAACCGGGAAACCAACAGTAGTGCTCCTTCAACTGCTGCTTCAACTGAGCGACGATGGCATTAACGCTCAAATAGTTCCAATCTTCGACGAAAGCTTCTGTAGGATCGCTGGGTCAATTCTTCTGTTGACGGACATGCTTTGGCGAGTCCGCCATCCAAGCCACGAACTGGAGGAGTATAAGGTAGTTGTTCTCCTGCTCCAGTGCGGGAACCATCTCGTTCTCCTCCTCCTCGATGTGGCTTTCCGTTGCCTCTACCTGACATGGGCGTGCACGGTCTTTGAGATGATCACACTTGCTTCCTCTATGAGGATCTTCAACAAAAGCGCAGTGATGTAGTCTCACCCAAGGCAAAGACAGTCTGGAGCGTGCCGGGCTCCGCTACCAATATCGAGGTAGCAATCCTCACCCTTCCGCGATCGAAGTCGGTCGGGTCAATCTCAAACAAGTGGAAAGCGCGAAGCGCACGAAGGTTTTCAACCGCAAGGTCGAAAGGTCGTAACCTGCCGTGTCTCAAGGGCCCTGCATTGAGCCAGGACGACAAATGTACAAGACATGTCATGGCTTTTCATGATGTCATATTCGTGCATCAACAGATTCACTATTTCCTCTTACACCATCCACCGTTTTCTTAATCCGATCTTCGTGCGATTGACCGGACTGAGGTCAATCCGGCGGACCAATTGGTGATCTATGCCATGAGCCCTGAGGGTTTCGACTTCACCACGGTTTTCTTGGAGTCTCCGGCAGATGGTGGGGAGCCAAAGAGACATCTTACAGTGAACTGATATCTCACCGACGCATGGATGAGAGAAATACGTGTAGCAGGCATTCTGCTGGTTTGGGGTCTAATCTCTGGAAGCAGCAAGGAGAGAGCCAATGGTAACGTCTTTGCCCAGAAGTTTCGGTGGAGCCAAAGACGTGTGCTCACACACTGGGCAGGCACAGACTCGGGAAACAAGCCTCCGAATGTTTGGAGCTGAGGTGTGAGACAGCCCGGAGGTAGCAGAAATCTTGTCTCCATAGGTATTCTCCATGGAAACAATCCAAACCTAAGGTCAAAAACCTGTTTGACAACTGCAGTTGAGGAGAACGAGAACGATTGCAATTCATTAATTTCACTGTTCCTTGGGGTGCCACGGCATGCTAACACAGCTCTGTGCTCAGGTGGGTCGACGCCTGCTTTGGAAGGGATTCACTGGTGGCATCGTGGTCCAGGATGGATACAGGAATGAGTGCACCCTCAGGACAGGGATGCTGCGAAGAATTAACAGCTTGGCACACGGTGATGTCGTGCTTGCTGACAGGGTTCTGTTGCGCAATCTTGCATCAAACAAGGATCAAGTGTATTGTCTTCCAAGGAAGCGAGGGCGGTCCACGAACGAACCCAGCCTTGGAAGGATCCCAGGGTCCCAGCAACTAGTGAACGCATGAAAATATGCCTAGGTCCAAAGGCAAGCACCCACAGCACCACAGCCAGCCATCCGCACTCAGTCGGTGTTGCCAGTGAACTGGTTGGGGCTTAACGCAAATAAACAAGTGTCCCTATCTTTGACATCAAATCCACGAGTGGTGGGCTTGGCAGGGTCAGCTTTGACAAGAATGAGTACGTGCGTTTCCAGCTGGGCGGCATTCGGATTCCCTGGATCGGTGGCCAGGTGCGGGGACATCTGGAGGTATTCAGTTGCTCAACTGAGGACTTTTGAGCGACTCCCAGACATTCCCAGACTTATACAAACACCTTAGAGACAATTTGATGAGCACCGAGAGGTAAAAGAGGCATTGAAATTGAAACGGTTTGTTCTTTCATGTTCTTTCACTGAATTTTGCCGGATGATATTGGTTCAGTTCGTCGATTATCGAATTACTTGGTAGATGAATGTGGAGCAAGAGGAGTTTGTCCATCACCGAAGTCATTCTCCTTCCGAAGAAAGGGTCGGAGAACTCACAGACCCATTGAGCTCATTTTGCAGTGGAGTAGCCTCAACCTGCCAGGCGCTCTTCACCATGCACACCAGTGTCAGAGGCTTTCGCCAGGCAAGGACCAATTGTGAGGTTAGGAATCGGAATCAGGATGACCTAGACATGCCGGACCCATATCTGATGACCCAGGTCGGTGGATGACAAGGGTACATCTCATGCTCACTGTTCCCAGGATGAGATAGAGATGTGTTGCTATGTGGCAGCCCCAGCGGGAGCCAGAAAGTTTCGATGCGTTGATGCGTGTTGACCTCCACCCGTTGCTTAGTTGCTGACAGGACGATAGTCTGATCTGACAAAGTATGGTTTCTCGAGTCATTGGCTTTGTACCTGGAAAGGGGTGCTAAGAATTGGTGAGCGCTTTTGTTTGACGAGACCCTCCGACTTCAGACGCTGATTGGGTGCTAGGAAGGGCAGCCAGTGGAAAATCCGGCTGTGGTGTTCAAGGCAGGGTGGACGTAGGGTGATGATTGGAGTTCCGGGAATAGATTAGTCATATGAGTACTAACAAGAAGCTACTAGGAACAAGTGCATCGCTTCTAGTAACAAGTGCCTTACTAGTAGTAACAAGAAGCTTCTAATTTAATCATATGAGTCATATGGGTTATCATCTTGGGTTCACCTTGTTTGACGAGCTCACTTTGCTCGTGTCTCACTGGGGTTGGTCTTGTGGAGGTGTTGCCAGGGAAGGAAATAGGTCTCAGTTGACCATGCAGCCTTGCTTCGATTTTCTGGGGCACAAAGCCAACGTTGCTCTGTTGCTTATTTACTTTTATTTCTTCTGTCCATATAGGAGAGCACAAGAGTGTGCAAGGCTCAGTGGCACCAGGGTGGAGGCTTCAATGACAACCCTCCGACTGTGCAGGTGCCATTTCGATTGCAGGGCCTGAGGGCTGTACTCCAGAGCGAATGGGATCAAGAGGCCTTGAAGGGTCCACCGAACTAGCAGCATTCTGACAGCTTTGTCTATACCGTACCTATATAAATCAAAAGAAACAAAACAACATACATTATGTTCCACCCGCTGCTGGTGTTTGTCAAGGCCTGTGCAGAATCTTCCTTTGTGTTGTGCTTTCTTTACTGCATTTGATCGATCTTAGGCTTAGCCGGTTTAGCCTCAGAGTTTGGGCTGCTCCCACAGCTGCTTTGTGTTCAGGCTTTCAACTTTCCCATTGCCTCGAGCATGAAGACAAGGCTTCGAATTCTTGGTGTACCAGTCTATGAACCGGGGTGTGGCCAAGACAAGTCTTCGGTTAGTGCAAAGCCAACTGGATGATAGCCAGGGAAGCAACTGTGAGCATGTGATTGCCAGCGCGACTTGGAGGAAACTCGCAGCTGAGGATGCTGTTTGGGTGAGACGGTTCAGTGAGTTCTGGCAGGTTGGACGAACAGCATCTCGTCACCTTCACCTTCCAGCTCGCAGCTCCCATCGAGCTAGCCCCGCCAGTGACCTGCCCTAATTTGGACCTTTGTGAAGAAACAATTGCTCCTAGTAGTAAGGCCAGGAGCTACTAGTAGCTTCTTGTTACGTTCGTAGCGATTGCTCCGTTCGTAGCTTCTAATGCCAAGAATGCCAAAGGTACATGGGCTTTGGTCATTTCGGCTCACGACCTCACTCCGTTCGTACTTACCGTGCTTTTTTCGGGCTCACGGTACTCACAGTCCTCACGACTTGCTCCCTGCGCTCTCGAGGCCCGACGACTGGTCTTTGTCGTCCGGGCACCGGTCGGCTACTTTGCCCCTCAGCGAACGATATGAAAATTCGGGGATCGTTCAGTGATTCCATGGGATTCCAAGTGATTCCAAGTCTGATTGTGTCTCCTAGTAAAACCAAATGTGTCGGATCGTAATGTTATACGTTTGATGGTCCAGCAGCAAGAATGTTTCAAAAGGTTCTTCACTCATCCAATTAACTGGTTGAACATCACGCAGGCGTGGGCAAGCAAGCGTGAATCTGACACCGATGTACCTCGAAATGCGTTGTGAGATCTTGCTCTCCGACGACTTGATGGATGTGAGGGACAGTTCGTTTCTGGTCGAGGACTGGGTCAAGGATAAGATGGGCTTGCAAACATGTGGGATTAGGCCCCTTGTTGAACAAAGACGCTACAGCGGCACCACCACTCAGCTCAAGTCCCCCTTACAAGTGCGTGATTGCTGGTGACGAGATGCTCGCCAGCAGCCGGAAAGATTGTCTTGGTTCATCAGAGCAATGCGTATAGTGGCATATAGTATAGGAACCCCAAAATGCTACCCTCGAAGAATGTTGTTGCTTCACCAACTGGCAAACGTATGACTTGCTTTGTTTCAAGGCTCCGCTGTAGCAGTGCAGTGTGTGTGTGTGCAGTGCGGAAGATCTGCACCAAGTGCTGAAGATCCAATGCTAAATATCTTGGGCAAATGCAGAAGACTAACGTCTGTTTTTGCAACTTAGTACTGCGAGGCCAAGAGGCCAAGAGGACTTTGGCCACTGCAAACAGCCACACTGCAAATGAGTCGAAAGGCACAGAGCTTACGTCCATTGGACGTCCATTGGATGACAATGGCTTAGTCTGAGCGAAGGACCAAGAGAAAGAATCAGCCTTTCCTCTTTGCACATGTATTTGTGGAGCTTTGTACAAAGGGTCATACATCTCAGTATCGACTGCGACAGCAACTTAACCATGGGACATCCGTCAATCTCACTGTAAACCGCCGTCAACCTTCAGCGACAATTTAGATCGCTTAGTAGTACCATGTGGACATCAAACAGAATGCTTGAGTGCTACTCTGACAGACGCTGTTTGTGTGGTCCAAGACACACAGACAATATAGATGGAGAATGATGGAAACTAAAGGTTGCCACGGTTGCAGTTCGCACCAGTAAATGTATTCACGTCGCTTCGCGACGGTAACCGCCCGCACCGGATGGAAGGGGACAATACATCCACCGAGTCCCGGAAGGAAGCCCGAGCTGCTTGTGCTCTTGGAGCCAAGGGAGTGAGTATGAAAGGAAGTGTCCGACATAGCGTCCATATTGTCGGCCCCAGAACGGCTCCCCCCCAACGTGGCTGAACATAGCTTCCATATCGCCTGGAACGTCGCAAATATAAGGTCCAACTGGAGCAGAGAGAAGCAGAGTCATCAGGGGAAGGGATGATGTGGTATTCGATGGTTCAAGGGCCTTTTCAAGTAATCGTGGCTGCTGAAGGGCCGCCACCACTGCCTCGGTCCCTATCTCGCAGACACGTCCTTTCGGTAGTGCCTTCGAGCGCTCGGTTAGACAATATCTGCACGCTATTCCAGTCCCTTGGGAGCCTTCGTTAGACCATGTTTACGA